CAAATACAAGTGCATGGCTGCAGACAGCTTCAAAAATGGCTGATCAGGTGAAAATCTGAACTCTTATTGTATGAGGGGTCAGATGAAGATGTTTCAAAACAGAGTATCTTCTGTAACTTCTGCCCATGCTGCCTCTCAGCCTGTTGCTGTTTACAGAATAGGAGGGGGGAAAGGGAGCGGAGAGAGTTCAGTCTGGGGGTTTTCAGCGCCCCGCTGTAGGGCAGGGCAGGTGTACTGGAGTCCCCCTGCCAGAGGCTGGCTTGGACTCCAGTTCACCCAGCCCACCCTCCAGCAACAGCTGGGGAACCCCTAGAATGAGCTCCCTCTGCTCCTTTCCCCCCCTCCCATTCTGAAAACTTTCTCAGTTACAGCAGAGAGCTGCACTTCTGTCTGCACCCTAAATGTCTACAGGCTGCAGATCTGGTATCCTAGCCCTGGTGTTTCTACTCAGGAATACTACTCAGCCCAAACAGATTAACACTAATTAACACTAATTTGCCACTTCGCTTGGCCAATCCCTCCACTGTTACTAGGTCTCTACCATGTAAAAGAGCATAATTGAATCTAAATGAGTCTCCCACTCATCTACTAAATGTAACAATGACTGTGATAGCCTTCAGATGGAAGGCACTAGCACTTTTCCAAATAGAGATATCAAATAGATACCTATTATAATATTTATCTATATATGAGCTTAGTTTTACTGCAACAAGACTAAGGACTGAGATTTAGTTATGTTTGTACAGTACCCAGAACTGTGGGGCCTTAGGATAGGATTGTGGACTCTTAAGTGCTATTAGAAGACAAAAAGAAAAAATGCTGAGCTATTATACAGGGCTGCTATCACCATCTATTCTTAAGGTTGTCTAACACTTCCCATTTCAAGACAGAGTTTGTGTTACTTTTGACTTAATACAGCTTTAACCAGTTGAGTTGAAGTTCTCCATGCTGGATGTCTGTCTCCAGCTGAATTTATTTCAGGGGGAAAAAAGAGATAAACAACAGGTGAAATTGTTCAGCTGTTTCTGAGAACAAGGCAGGAAAAATGTTGTTTTGCTCATTTTAACCAACTCATTGGCATGTTAATACCAGGGCAGTTAATACCAGTGCAGGGCAGTGGCACACTGAGAGATGCTGTGATGGCTCCCAAAGAGGTAGCAATCCAGCTGCATTAGTGCAGAGCTCCATGCAAGCTAATAAGCTCTGCTTGAAAAACACATATACGCACATGTACACACATACACACAACTTCTGAAAACTGTAGTTTGCACATGCACTGTAGAGATTTGCCAGAATTCAGCCATTAAGATTGCTAAGGATGCCATCATCACAGAGCCTGCTCGGCCCCCTAAGAGCTTCCACCAGTGACCATCTCAGTGGCCCCACAGAATGACTGGGCATAGACTAAGACAAAGCTAGCGGGGCCCAGAGGGTCTTGCTTTGTAATGGCTGCTTCTCTCCAAACCAGATAAAAAACACAAACCATTTCTCCTGGATTACTTTGGCTGTCACCCAGGCAAATCTGAATGCCAACAGGACAAAGGGTAGAGTGGACAAGATGTCTTGCCGGATGGGGATCGGAATGAAAACCCTGGGCTTGTGAGCCAGTGACAGCATTGAAGTGAGACTGAGTTGGTGGACAGAACCACTGAGATTGGATAAGTAGCTGGAGGAAGGGGTGGAGACGAGAAATGGATCTCATGAGGCAGAAGTACTGAGTACGTTGGGGTCTGAGGGCCTGGCCCACCTACCTCAGGAAGAGGGCTGTCACCTGAAATGCATGAAACTTTCCACATGCCCATTGTCTTAGCTCTCCCACCTCCAGCAAAAATAAAAGTTGCCCCCTTCTCATGAGGTACCAGAAGGATTAATGTCAGGCAACAGATACAGAAAAAAAGAGGGAGACTTAGACATAACAGAGGAGACTGGTACTCAACCAGCCAGCCCACAGGGCTGCGCAAGGAGAGTAGGACTGGAAGAGAAAACTGAAGTGTGGGGAAGGATCAGTGTGCATAATATGACTGTGATGAAGACCCAGGAGAGGGAACAGACTGCTGTGATAATATCAAGTTCAATGAGATGTGGCAGAAGTCACACTCTAGGATGGGAGAAAATGGGAGATGACTGCCCACTAAAACACACAGCCTGGAATGAAACTAAATCTGACCATTACTCAGCTGTCAGGAAATATTTGCAGACCTCATCAACAAATGTCCTGTCCCATCTTTGCTTATCCAAAAAAGAGGCTGACAACCTACTATTGCCATTAATTACTCAGCTCAAATAGCAGAGGTATTTGTGATGGATGTAAAAGTTCCTGTCCCACCAGTAACCAATATGGATGCAAATATGCCATCATATCAGATTTTTTTCTCCTATGTTTTAAAAAAAGCAAACTGAAAATTATACTTGTAAAGAATTAAAGCTACACAGTCAAGCAAGCACACAGAAGTCAGAGGACAACCTGAAAAAACTGTGCAAGCAACTCAGTTCTAGTATTTCCTAGGGTGCATGCATTCTGATACAGTTTCTACCCTGTAATCATCTAATGGTCTCGTTCAATGGCTAGAATGGGCAGTGCTCACTTAATAAGCATCTAATCAATGTCTTTAGTTAGCACTATCCTTCCTGTGCATTGGATGAAGAAGGGGTTCAGTGAGGCAAAAATAATATGTGATCATATAATTAAAGATTATATAATAAAACATAAGGCCAAGAAGGTCAAATCAAGGCAACCCAAATTTCATTTTTTCCTACCTTTTCAGTGCTTGACTTTAATATCTTAATGTTTTTAGATAGTCCGTGTTCAATATACATACACACCTAACTCAGCACTACATTTCATTACAAATTAAAGCAACGGTGTGGATAATCAAGCCTATATTTCATCTGAAGTGAACACTTACTCTAATAGCTGAAGTTAAATACAAGGTATGTTCAGTTTTCACCTTATGCATACTTATGCGGCACATGCTTGTTTTCTTAACACCCGCAGAATATGAGTTGAGAAAGTTTTTACGTCATGTGGGGCCATAAGAGATTCTGTGCATTTATGCTGCACCTTAATTATGCAACAATAGATGCCACATTGCCTTTAATTAGGAATAATGCTGCAGTCATTATGCATTTCAGTCATGATTTTACTTTCCCAGTAAAAGTAGCTGTTAAATAAGGTTTCTGATGAGAATACATAAAGAGATTCATGTGGGGTGGAGGAAAAAAGGGAAAAAAAAAATCAATGAAATAAATATTTACTAAGGATTAAAGGTCTGTAAATTATGTAGCTTCTAGAGAACATAACCTTCCTGTCAAACACTCATTCTATTGATCACTGTATGGTCTTTAACTCCTCTTCCTTCCCTGATGAATACACACTAATGAGAAATAGCCATATTGAGTTTCAAAGATGTTTAACCCCTAGGCTCCAATCCTGCCTTTCTCTTGCATAGAAGTCAGCATAAAGTGTATGCAGGACTGGATGATATGAAGTAAATTTGAAAGGGTCTAAATTGTTGAGATCTCATCATCATTACTGGATTCATTCAGGTGAAATGCCTGTCACTCCTGCCGATATGTTCTCCTTCAACATTAAGAGATTCCCACACTTAGCAGCATTCTGACCATATCTTATATTCTGATCCTTCAGTATTTACTCAGCCTAGACTTCCATCGACGGAAGTCATTGGTAGAGAGCTTCATGATATCCTGTCACTTCTCAATAAAGACACAATGGTACTTTCACAAAGGAGCTTGACCTCAAGCATGTGACTAATTAAGTCCCTTCCCCTCCCCCAGTGCCTCTGATCCCCTTCCCCTGCCCAATCTGCTACGTGCTTTCTGCCCTATCTACTGGTGTGCTTCCTGCTCCATCCCATATCTGTTATGTGTTATACACAGAAGCTTCCTGTGCCACAGGTTGGCCACCCCACACTAAGCAGCCACAGATAAGTAATAAGAAGAATGTATGAAAAAAATAGGAGCACGCTCCATGTACACACTATCCTCTCTGGTACCTCTCAGAGAAAGACAGCATCTGAACAGCATGTCCCCAGAGACTACAAAGGTAAAGCAAAGCCTCATAGTCATGGTACAAAAATATGTTGATAGATCTAATGAAATCAGGAGATCCAACCACTTCCCATCCTGTCCTATTGTACTGTGCTTCTGTACTCTGTTATAGCAAGGGTTGATAAGGACTCCAAATATAGCTCCGCTTCACTGGTGAGTGAAGTGATTCCTCCACAGAGCTGAACTGATTCAAAGAAACCAGCATAATGAGTACCCAAATGAGGCATGGATCCCATCCAGGAGGAGAGTGCATGCAGCTATGCACATAGATCTCATGGAGGGCTTTAATTATCAAGATATCTTCTGGGAGGGAAACACAACAGTAGACAAGAAGTCCAGCAAATTCCTGGGGTGTTTTGGGGAGAAGTTCTTCATATAGATGGTAGAGATGGCAACTAAGGGAGAATCTCTGCATGACTTACTGCTCACAAATAAGGAGGAATGGGTTGAGAACATGAAGGTGGAAGGTAACTTGGGTGACAGTGACCATGAAATGAATGAGTTCAAGATCCTAAGGGAAAGGAAGGAGAGCATCAGAATAAGGATACTAGACTTCAAAAAGCAGACTAACAGACTCAGGGAACTGGGGAGCAGGATCCCTAGGTGTCAAGTCTGAGCAGAAAAGGAATCCAGGAGAGCTGGCTGCATTTTAAGGAAGGCCTCTTATGGGTGCAGGGGCAAGCTACCCTGATGGGAAGTGCAACTGGAGACCAGCCTAGCTAGACAGTAATTCTTCAGTGACTTGAAACTCATAAAAGAATCCTACAAAAAGTGGAAACTTTGTCATAGTACCAGAGAAGAGTATAAGAGGTATGTAGGGAGAAAATTAAGAAAGCTAAGGCATGATTTGAGATACAGCTGGCAAGGCATATCGAAGGCAATAAAAAGGGATTCTACAAATATGTCAAAAGTAAGTGGAAGACCAGAGAAACCAGGGGTCTCTTGTGGAATTCAGAAGACCATCTAGTTATGGATGATTCAGGGATGTCTGAAGTATTTAATTCCTTTTTTTTTCTTACTTCAGTCTTCACAAATACAGGCAGCTATTAAATGATGAGTGCAGATAACAACAAAAACAGGGAAGGAGAAAAACAACCTAGAGTAATGGTAGAACAGGTTAGTGATTGCCCGATGGGATGCATCCTAGGGTACTAAAGGAACTGGCTGAGGTAATTTCGGAGCCCACTCACTATCCTCTTTGAGAACTTATGGAAGTCAGGTGAAGTCCTGAAAGAATGAAAAAGGGGAAATATAGTGCCCATCTTTAAAAAAGAAAGAAGGCGGATCCAGGGAACTACAGACCAGTCAGCCTGACCTTTGTACTTGGCAATATCATAGAGCAGATCCTCAAGGAATTCACTGTGAAGCACCTAGAGGACAACAAAGTGATCAGGAACAGCCAGTATGGATTCACCAAGAGCAAATCATGCCTGACCAACCTGATTTCCTTTTGTGTTAAAGTTAGAGGATTTGTAGATAGGTGGGAAGCAGCAGATGTGATATATCTTGGCTTTAAAAGACTTTTGACACTGTCTCTAAAGACATTCTCACTAACAAGCTAAGGAAATACAGACTAGATAAAAGTACTGTAAGGTGGCTCCGTAACTTGTTGGACCATTGTAGTCAATGAATAGTCATCAGTGGTTCAATGTCTAACTGGAAGGAGGGAACAAGTGGTGTTTCCCAGGGGTCTGTCCTCAGCCCAGTATTGCTTTAATTTGGATGATAGGATCAAGGGCATGCTTAGCAAATTTGTGGATGACACTAAGTTGGAAGAAGTTGCAGATACACCAGAGAGAAAGGTTAAAATCCAAAGTGACCTGAATAGACTGGAGACATGGTCTGCAGTCAATCAGATGAGATTCAACAAGGACAAGTGCAAAGGCCTGCACATGGCATGGAATAATTGTATATACAAATATAGACTGGGGAATGAGTGACTGCAGAGGAGGACCTGGGGGTTACAAAAGACCATAAGCTGAATACGAGCCAACAGTGTGCTCTTGATGCAAAGGGGGAAAAAAGCCAGCAGACTACATCAACAGAAGTCTCACTTACGAATCAAGGGAAATGATTCTTCAATTCTATTCAGCACTGGTGAAGCCTCACCAGAAGTACTCTGTCCAACTTTGGGCCCTACACTTCAAGAAGGATGTGGATAGATTGGAAAGAGTCCAGCACAGAGCATCAAAAATGATTTATGGCCTGGGAGGCAGGATTTATAAGTAAAGGCTGAAAGAACTAGGGTTATTTAGTCCAGAGAAGAGAAGGCTGAGGCAGAATTTGGTAACAGTCTTCAAATACCTGAAAGGTGATTTCAGAGGGGAAGGAGATGCACTTTTCACTGTGGCTACAGGGGCCAGGACTAGAAGCAGCGGTCTCAAGCTGCAACAGGAGAAATTTACGTTGGAGATGAGGAGGAACTTTCCAACTATGCAAGCATTAGAACAGGCTACTTTAGAGAAATTGTGGAGACAGGAGCTACCATAACATGGCCAGAACATCTTGTGTTGACCATAGCAAGGGTACATGGTAATACATTGGATTCTTTGGATTTTGGGGTACCCATACATTTCAGTGCATTTTCGCTAGCCCTGCAGCAATGGAAGCTTCCTTGAGCTATTTAGGTTCTGAACTACAGGATGCAGGGATCCCATAGTTCTTCTGTAGCTCAGCATCTCTCCATGGCAAGATGGTAGCTGTTTCTAGTTCCTTGAAACAGGCCTTTCTTCCTTCTTTGGCTTTTCAGACTTCAAAACGCTAGTGCTCCTTACTGATGGATAGGACCCAAATGGAACCGTCCTGGAGAGAAAATATCATCCTACCCCCAAACTCAGGATCAGAGAAAGAATGTGATCCTCCTCAGGGCATGTTTGCATGAAGTAACTAATTAATAGCAGAATGTGTTTAAATAGGTTACTTTTCTGTACGTGCTTCAGAATTCAATGAAACAGGGGAAAAAACCTTAATAAGCAAAATTAGGCTCTTTCATATAAACTAATCACTTACAGTTAAGCTCTTTGTAACGTCTTCACTGCATTAATCCATAGACAATAAATTCCTCCTTTTTCAGTGCAGACAATATTTTTCCCATCTCATACACACTGTAAATCATATTCTCTTGTCAGTCTGCCAACTTTATTTTAAAACAATTACACTGAAATGTGCACCACAATTCACATACCATACTTCACCTTCTGTCAATCGCCAGTATTACCGCTTTAAGCATTACAATGCCTATTTCCCATTTTCAGTCTCATATTTATATATCCTGGCAGTTGGGGAAACAGAATTAAGTTGAAATCTGTTGCACATAAAGAACAAGAGAAGTAATATTACATTGGATAAGGCAGTGAGCAATACTCTGGGATTTTCAACATGGTTTCTATTGACCGACACCACAGTTGATAATGATTTTGATAACTGATAATTGGTAATATTCGAGACTTCTGGTTAAAAAAAAATGTCTTTACACATTATTACATAGTGTTTACTCTTGAAGTTCTGCAAATGTTGATGAAAACAATCTGTTGGATATTGAATGTTTTTTATCATATTATGAAAGACCATTCTTATTTATGCATTGGTATTCTAAGCTTGCTGAGACTCTTTATAGTTTGATATTTAATCACGACAACAGCCAGATCCATAACCTCCAAGAAAAGACTTATACAGGCAGTTCTCGACTTACAGTGTTTCGAATTACGGTGATTCGCACTTGTGGCGCTCTGCCATTTACACCCATGTTATTACTTACAATGCTGGATCCTCGCACTTACGGCACTACAGGGAAATTTACAATGAGAAAAATAGGGCAGCAAAATAAACATCCCTGGATCAGTTTCTCAAAAAGCCATCAAGTGGCCGTAACTCTCCCCAAAATCTCCCCAAAGAAGCCCTTCTGAATTCCATGACCCTGATGAAGTTGTTCCTTCACTTTCTGATTAAATAAAATTTTATGTGATTATTTACGATATTGCCCTGCTTAATCATTTATATACAGTACACTTTAAAAAGCTTTGTACTGTACAGTGTAAATAGTTGATTTAAATAGTTGATTTAAATAAGGTGTTTATGGTCATTTCTATAAAAATGTTGGGCATCAGGCCCTTGGTCAGGAATGTAACCCCCTATTATAACAGTGTTTCTATGGGAAAATCAGATTCAACTTACACCATTCTGACTTACAGCGCCTTTTCCAGGAATGTAACCCACTGTGAGTGTGAGGACTGCCTGTACTAGGAGACTGGCTGAACTGGCAATTGATTAATAGTGACCAAAAATGTCCAATCTCACAGATGTTCAGATGTCAGTTTGCAGTGACTTTAGCCTTAATCCAATGCTGGGTGTATAAATTCCTCTACACATCTCTCTGACTCTTCTTGCACTTTCATTGTGCATGTGTTATAGTTAACTAGAGCATGTCAGCCTCCAAAAGGACATTTTTCATTAACCTTAACTTGAAAAAAAAAGCTCCAGTGACATAAGGCACAATTTACCCTGTGGAGAGACCTTGTAAAGGCCTGCTGCATCACCTAAGCTCTGCTTGGAGATCTCAAATAGTGCATTTGAGCCTGATGGACTCAGTGGTACTGGGGATCTGATCCAAAGAAGGGCTGATGCCCATCACAGGACTTACATGGGCTTTAGACACTTAAATCTGAATTTGTGATCCAAGAATCCCAAGGTTAGTCATCACCCAAACCTGGCCTAATTTACCAAGGTGACCCCCTAGTGATCTAAAAATTCCCATGGACGTCACTACCTTATATACCAGCATCCCACATCAGGATGGCATCCAAGCCTGCCTCACATATCTACAAGAGAGCGATAAAAACTCAGAGTACAGACCTGAGAATATCACTGAACTCATATATTTCATTCTCACACAACAACTTCAGTTTCAACAACCAACACTTCCTCCAGACCCTGGGCACAGCTATGGGCACCAAAATGGCCCCACAATATGCCAACCTTTCTATGGCTCACCTGAAAGAAAAATTCCTCAAGAACTGGACCATCAAATCCATGTTATACCTCAGACACATAGATGACATCTTCATCGTTTGGACTGAAACCCTGCAAGCTCTGATTGCCATCAAAAATTCAACAACCATCACACCTCCATTGGAATATCTCTCAAATACTCTAACACCAGCATTTCCTTCTTGGACACCATGATCAATATCCAAGTTTGTAAAATACAAACCACCATATACAAGAAACCCATGAACCAACATACATATCTGCACAGAACCAGCAGTTACCCTAAACACACCAAGAAAGCTGTAATTTACAGCCATCCTCTCTGATACCACCAAATTTGCACCAAGGAGAATACCCATGATTACCACCTGACAAATCTCAAAGGGCCTTCACACAACAAAGACAATCCTCAAGAGAAATAGATTGTACTTTTGAAACAGCCACCCGGATACTAAGCAAAGATTTTCTGCAGTACAAACAGAAAATCCCCATGAATCACACACCATTAGTTATGACATACCATCCTTTCCTGGAACCTACATGGAAAATCCTCAAACAATTACAACCCATACTAGAAGAAGACGCAATTCTTAAAGAGATCTTTCCAGAACCACCCATCCTAACCTTTAAACAAGCATCTAACCTTGCTAACCTCATCACCAGAAGCAAACTCCCTATAACCCAAGCCACACCAAATGGATCCAGACCATGTCAGAACAAGAAATGCAAAACCTGCCAACACATCTCCACCACTCCCACAATAAATGTATACCCCCACAACACCATGATTAATATCCAAATAACCACTCCTGACAACAGAACCATCACCAATCCTGGGTCTTATACCTGCACCTCCAGAGATGTTATACATCTCATCCAGTGCACCAAATGCCCTGATGGAAAATATATAGGAGAAACCGAACAACAACTGTGCACCAAAATGAACACACACCGACGAA